AGCCATGCTGACAAAAAGTCAGAGCGCTGTTGACTCAACCGTTCCTTTAATGTTAACTAGAAATGACTTCATGAACTTCTTCACAAATAAAATTTGAACCATTAGAGAAAAAAAATACTCATAATCGTCTCACAGATGTAACATTATCTACAGCTACTTTCAGTACCATTGATATTCATTTAGAGTCATTTTCTCCAGTTGGTATTCCTGAGTTAACTTCAGTACTTGCTTCCTCAAACCATCAACATGTCTTTTAGACCCCATTCCTACAAGACTGCGCAAAGAAGTCCTGCCATTAATTAATGCTTCAATCTTAAACATGATCAACGTGTCTCTAGTAATCGGCTATGTACCACAGGGCTTCAAGCTGGCAGTAGTTAAACAGTTACTTAAAAAGCCTTCTCTTGACCCAGCAGTCTTAGCTAATGAGTCTTAGCTTTCTTTCATATCAAAAATCCTTGAAAGAGTAGTTGTCAAACAGCTAACAGATCATCTGCAGAGGAATGGCTTATTTGAAGAGTTTCAGTCATGTTTCAGAGCTCATCACAGCACAGAAACAGAATCTTCTTATGGCCTCCAGTGTTGGGGAGTAATGGAATACATGTACCGGCGACGAAGAACAGAAGTAACCACGCACTAAATATACACACAAAAGTAACAAGAAACACAGAGGAGGGAGACACAGCTGAACCTAATTAGACAAGACAACAGTGAAGCAAACCCAAAACACTGAACACTGGACGTGGGTGTTTTAAAAGAGGTAAAAGAGGAAATACAAGACAGAAAGCCACAATTCCCAGAATAAAACTTAAAACAAAAACAGAAAACACTGGGTCGCAGTGTAACTGCTGAAGCTCTACTCTAAGCAGTGGTCAGGGTCAAGTGATGTTACCAGTAACTCTGATTATAATGTTTGGCTTTCTGAGTCAGGGTGAGAGTTATTTTATTTGTTTGTTTTTAATTCTGTTTGTGCTGTTCATGTTTCTCTGATTTAACCTGATACATTTTCTGTTTTTCCTCAAGATTCACATCATTTTAGTTCTCATTTCAAAGTAATTTGCCAACAGTTTTCTAACTCTGTTAAGCCAAGCCTGTCAGGGACTGTGACCATCAGCACCAGAGGGAGTTGCTGGACTTAGTTAGTACCTTTAGAAACCTGGACAGCCTCCCAAACTCAGGAACTCCATCTTGACTCCAAGGCAGAAGATCTGGTTCTCAGCACACTTTATCCATCAGTGATCTTCAGGCAGTAGATGCTGGAGATTATTACTGTGTGGGTTACCATGGTAGTGAAGTGTTTACACAATGATTCATGGCTGCATAAAATTTTTTTTCACTTTGGCTGAAGGCTGCAGGTGTAGAGTGTTCAACTGCAATGAGAATAACTAGTCCACTTAAACACAACACAAGTGTACCCCCCACCCCCAACCTACAGACTTCATTTCAGCAACAGTGAAAGCTTTAGAAAGCTAAACGGGATAATAAGTGAACAATCAGCAATTTCCCATCGGCTCAAAAGTATTTTTCATTAAGGCCATTGCAACTTCAGTTTAATAAATAACCACTGATGAACACTGATCCTGCTGTTTGTTAGAAAAATGACAAACATCCCTGATCTTTTGTTACTGAAAAAATTGAAAAATATCTAAACAGTGTGAAGCTCTCTAAGCATATCTATTGATTCTGATCCTGTAATAAACTACTGAGATGATGATCACTAATCAGTGCTGACAGATTATTTCACTTTGCATCTAACAATCCCCCCAAACCCCCC